TCCTGACCCCCACCAGCCCACCTCATCCTCCTCTGCCCGCTCCCCCACATAATCGTACTTGGTGGGGTCCTGGCATGTCAGCTAGGGGCTGAAGGAAGATCTTAGCTTTCCTCAGTCTGCACGCCGTGGCATGTTTGCAGGCTCTACCAGTACCAACTGGAAGTTCTTCCAAGGACTGTTCCGCAGTCAGAGTTGGGGCGGATGTTGAGAATGGCTCCTCAGGCCCAGCCGGAGAAAACATCGCAGAGTAAGTCTCAGTATCATCTCCCCAACCACCCAACTGCAGGGCAACACTATGCATGGTTGTGGTGACCGTGGTGTTCCTGGTGGTGGTCATAGATAGACAGAAAGCCTGCCGTGTCTGACATGCTGGAAAACAGATGAAACACGTCATTGCAATCACGCTGTCATTGTACGTGGCATGGGGAAATGCAGGGGTGATTAGTAGCAGTAGAAGCAGGACTAGCAGTATAGCATCAGCAGCACCAGCAGCTGCTCTCCTCCATCAGTTCCAAGACAGTGCCCAGCTGCCCCTGCAGTTCTGCCTGGGATGGGTTCCAGGTGCGAGCAGCTGCCAAGGTCGTCATTTCTTCATGCACTTGATACAAATCAACCTGGGAGATTTGCAAGAGGAGTTTGTGCTTGTCCTTTTTCCAGTGGTGTTTTACAACTCTGTTCTTACAACATACAGTCCATTCATGTCTTTGGTCAGCTGGTGGAACCATCAAAACGGGACCCATAAACTAACACTCGAGAAGTCGGCAACTCATGTGGACCACCCCAAGCCAATCGGCCAGTCTACAAACATGCGTCGACTCGGCCGTACCAGCGTAGAATCGACCCTCCATCTGCTTTCTCTTTCTTCCATTCCCGCTTCCATCCATCTCCCGTACCCGAACCCCTTGAAGAAACCATACCCGGACCCCTTGAAGAACGCTCGGAAAGCATGTTCCACCCCTTCCACCCCTTCCACCGAGATCGATCCATTCTGTCCATCCATCCCACTGTTTTTTGTTCCAAGCCCTGTGTTCTGGCTCCAGTGCTCCAGTCCTCAAGCTCGTGTCTGGCAATGTCAGAGCGTTCATCCAAGTAGTGCGTCGACGGCCTCCGTGCCTCGAGAACGTGGTTGCCGGGATCGACGGGTTGTGGGAAGAAGATGGAAGACACTCTGAGAGATTTAGGAGCTGCGCTTTCATGGGATGTTCAGTGGATATGGGCATTGTTGGGCTGATGGTTGAGCTCCATGTGAGAAATTGGCAAGGTCGTTTTGAAGATTTAATAATACACCCATCATCGTAACTCAAACGATGTAGATGGCTGAGCATGAAACCTTGTGGGTCTGTTTCATTCCTCCACTGAAGCCAACTCACCTAGACATTTAGACAGCGATATACATACTAATATATATATATTATTCCAAAAGATAGATAGATAGATAGATAGCTAGACATCTATTATCGTGTTATGATACTCTACGACTCTGATGTGACCACAAAAAACACTCTGCCGAAGCCATCGTTCTTCGCGTTCCGACATGGACGATCCATCCGGCAAACAGGTCGAACGGCCTGAGGAGCCGTGGCTGCTGAGAAGTCGGTGAACTCCTGAGAACCGTCGACAGGTGAGACACCGACTTGGCGACGTCACGTCACTACCGGTGTCACTCGCTTGGCCCTACAAGTGATCAACAAGTCGTAGTAGCCTTGGTTCAGTCCCTCAAGCCTGTAGAGTAACCCTGCATGTATTTCACCAAAACTTAACCAATCAAATGCATCAGCCTTGCAACCCGTAGAGCAGTCCTCACAAGACATGCACGGTCAACAGTCATGGACAGTCACTCTTCACTTGGAGATGGGAAGAACATGGGTATTCAACACTATATCCAACTCTCAGTGTCCAAAATGAAGAGCTTGAACTGCACCTTTGACTCTTTTGACCCCTTGGGGTGTTTTGAACTCACAAGTCTTTTGGTACTTCAGCCTCCAAGCAGCACCTTTAGTTCAGGGGTCTTTTCGGAATGAAAATATCTTCACCAAGGCCACCAGTGCTTTTGGACCACCGGAGGAGAAGACCGAACCTTTGGGGATGGAGTCACATGTCTATCTCCATGTCTATCTGGAAAATGCGTACAACATAAGAAAATGATGAGTACATTGACATAATGACATAGTAGAATTGTTTTGTTATCTCCATGTTGAGTCACATGACTCAAATAGAATGAAACAATTCTACTGGGGCCCACCGTGGGGCGTGTAGGCTTGAAGAGGCTTGACATGATTTGACCGACCATCAACCAACCCAACTCCGGAGTTGGTCACTGGTTTACTTCGGTCGCTTTTTTTTCTCTAACCACCTCTGGCTCTCCCGCCCTTTCGTGGGCGGAGACCTGCGGAGGAAATGGTTCCCCCTCGGCCCAAACGGTTCCCCCTCGACCCGTAGGGGAGCGCTCCATCTGCGAAGGCAGGTAGAAGGGAAGTGACAACGGCTTCGGGAATTGGCCCAGCAAGTCCTCGGCCCACGCACGGCGGTCAGCGGTCGATGTGGCAACTCTCTATAGGTTCTGTTGCAAACATAATTAGTCAGTAAGCATTGAAACTCACCTTCAGGAGGCTTACTTCTACGGAACATCAAGCCGCCTGAAGCATGGCTGCACAACACAATTAAGCTCCTTCCAATCAAGCACGGGCACTATGCTCTGTCTGCATGGTCGTCGAAATCAGAGCAGTGCATTGTCATTGTTTTCTCAACTGAAAAATCGATGAATACAATATAAGTAATACAGCAATTGGTAGTGTTCTACCCTGTGTTGACTCCTGATTGTGAAATACATATAGTGAGATCCTATGGGAGATCTTAATTCATCAACCGTCAACAGAAGAACCTGGCGGATTCGCTTAGAACCACGAACCCTCCCAGCCACGTGCCCAGCTCATGCGCCCCTCATCAGGTACCAAAGGTACCTGGCTCATGCGCCACCCAGCCGGCCTCTCCGTCATAGGAGACCAAGGGAGAGATCTCGCATTTGAGATCTTCGGTTTCACCCGCCACCTGGCTCTCGAGAGGCGGAGGCCGACGGTCGTCTCTGCCAGTCGAGGTGGTGGTGGAAAAGACACAGGGGACGAGGAGACGTGGGGGGAAGGGAGATCAGAGTTTCGCAGAAGAGGTGCAGAAGTGGAGAAACGTGGAGAAAGAGTGGGACATTGGTATGAAGAAACATCGCAGAATTGGAAAGTTCTACTTGTCCTCACAAGTCCGGATGGGTCGGTACCAGCAGTTTGCACAACGAATCCCTTTGAACCCTCCATGCAGGTGCCGTTGAATTGGGAACCGAAAGTATTCCCGGCCAAGAAGATCATCTTGAAGACCTGGTCCCAAGAGAGGAAGCTTTCAGAAGCAAGGCTGTTCGCTTCGGCGCAAGCATTTGGTTCCAAGATCTTTCCGGAGACTGGTTTTTTTTCAAGGAAACCCCCTTCATCAGCTCACCAATGATCATCCATCGTACTGGGAAGAGCCGGAAAGCTCTGGTGTTCAGTGGAGATCCCTATGCAAGTAGTGTGGGCTACCATAGGGACAAAAGCAATTGGATGGTCCTAGTAGAAGCTTTCGATTGTGGACCAATTCCAACTTGATGGTTCCTTCCTTCTCTGTAAAAACATGAGGAACGTGCTTGCTAAGAACCTCGAATACATCGTTTCACTCCGCAGCTCCCCTTCCTTGGCTCCTTCCTTTTTGGGGCTTTCCAGGCACCGCACGCGAACCGCCGATGCGCGGTGGGGCCGCGCCCTCGGGTGCACCGAACGGATCGCTGATTGGGTCGGGGGCGTGCCGACATGGGGCGTCCTTGGGTCCGGAGTTCAGTCTATGAAGGTTGGTGAAACACCAGTCACTCCGAACAGCTGAGTCAGTTTTGCGCCCTGTTGCAGTTGGAATCTTCCGGTTGGTCAAGAGTCAGTAGGCTCAAGAACTGGTGCGACAAACACGATCGCAAACGTTTGATGGATACCTACCCGCCCAGAAAGCCTGACTTGTGCACCCTCTACCTTCATCCGTCTGATTCTCAGCATCAACTTGAGCTGCGAGAAACTGGGTTGGTACACTCCACACGTCCAAAGTTGTTCCATCTTCAGACCCAAGGACTCCGGCACGGAAAATGCATGGAAAACACAGGCTGCCAGAGTCGCAACCATCGGAATCGCCACCGATTTCGCTGCACTGAATTCACACCCAGTCCGGCGTTGATGCATGTTTATGATGTCCTAAGTCTTGGTAGCGGAGTCTCCGATATGGACCCGTTGAACCACAGCCATGAGGACGTTGGTGACGCCTTTCGACCCTGGACGCCCTCGGGAGATCCGGCATCAGCGCCTCCGGGGCGACGAGAAACTTCTGCGTTTGGTGAAGCACTTGGAGGAACCCCGTTGAGCGACGAAAAAAAAGGACTTCCAGATATTGATGAGTTGGTCTCTTTAAGGCGCAAACACGTGTTTTTTTACATATATTGAAACGGGTTTCAAAGACAAGAACGCCTATAATACAGTCTTCGGTTTCATGGAAATCACAGCCTTGCACAAAAGGTCCAGAAGCGCATTGATGTACAGCGCAGCCAGAATGGTCAAGAAACTCGCTCTGCAGCCTTCACCTGCAGCTCAGTGAGAGTATCATCTCATAGATTTCATAGATTCAGTTAAAATGCTCTAGACTCTAAAACACATATTAACAAATAGTCCATGTATATATGGCATGGCATTAGGGTGGTTTTGAACTATTTTAGGGCTCAATGTAGGTTGTATATCTTTCATGGATTGTTGGTATACGTCAATTATAGGTTGCAAAAAAAAAACATAACAAACTTGGAGTCGCCAGCAGAAACGGGTTCTCATTCCGGTGTCTGTCAGGGATGGTTTCTTTGACATAAAATTGATCATATCATATCGAGGAGGAAGGGCAAGTCGGTGAAGCGGTGGGCATGCATCTGTTGGACAATTCTCCTGGAGGCATTCCTATTTACGATCAGTGACTGCAGACTCATGACTGATCCTTTTTGCAGCTTCAAGCACCAAAAACGCGCACCGAAAAGAATCCGACCTCCATCCAGATGGGGTGCCAGGGATGCTTTGTGCTGCTTTGACCATGATTGTAGGGGACTCCACCCCCACTCCATGCCTCAGATCGCCTCCAAGAACCACAGGTTGCGAGCCAGTGACCTTGGCCGCACCAGACTGGACCCGACCTTGAAGCACCCGGTGGTAGTGGGACTGGACCGGTAGATGGTTGGATGATCTGAACAAGAAAAACACGAACACAAACCATGCCAACAATCACCTGTTTTAGTGTCTTTGAAACACAAGGACATTACTGTAAGCTGTAAACCTCTAGAACAGCATTAACCATGCTAACCCGAACATGCCACCTGCCATTTCTTGCACACCAACGCCTTGTGTGCCGATCCGAGCACCATCGACGCCCTGCAAAAGATGTTCACGGCACTTAAGCCGAAGGCGCACGGGTTAGGTCCGGGGTTAGCAGGTCCTTAAGCCAAAGGACCAGCTGCTTGGCCTCGCAATGGTCCAGGAAGCAGGACCAAGCGGTGATGCGCCGCAGGGTTTCGCTGGTGCCCAGCACGCACATGCCTGGCGATCGGGGGAACTGTGGCTCAAGCTTTAGTCTCCAAGACTGCGGTTGATGGACAATCTTTGTCCTTTGACTGAATATCAATGAACATGCAGCATGCATACATCTTGGAATCGGTGAAAAACGATCTTTCAATGATGTATTGGAAGCCTCTTAGGTTTTCTCATGCAACTTCGACCATCGAGTTGTTCCCCTTAAAGATCCATCTTCCGAGAAAGTCTTTGGAGCTTTAAACATTGGCCGTCCTACTATACAAAAATACAAACGTTTACTAATGTTATATAGGAGTAAATAGAACACAAACAAATCCAATTGGGAATTTGAATGCTCATACTATACATACTATCATTCCTCAATGAACTCCCACTTGATTCCTCCAAAAGATCCTCAACCACGTCCTGCCTGCCCTCCCAAAAACCTCGAGCGCTTCGCCCGTTCCACACCCTGCGGATCCGACCCCGTCGCGGGCCTAGGCGAGCTCGCGTGAGTGCCACGTCCAAGAGATGCTCGTCCTCTAGGGCCCCCAGGCCGCCAGGCGTGCTTCGCACCGTGCTCAGAAGCACATAGTCCCATTCCTCGGCACTCGCGATGTGCTGGCCTTGTCCAGCAAAAACACAATCATGAACTTCGACTTTGATCTACATAATTTGGATTCATTTTGGTATATTATGTGTATATATGTATAGTATATAATTACGCGCCAGTAGGTTGAACTGGGAAGATGTGTTGCTGGGACTCCAAGAAGGATGCAGCCTTTAAGAACTGCATCAAGTTGGATGTGTCAATCAGGACCCCCTTCAACAAGCAAAAGTTCCCAGTGAACAGTGGAAAACAACTAGGGAAAGGACAACAAAAGCAGGGCGGGCGACCAGAGGACAATGAACGGATGCTTAAACACAAACTCACAAAGACTTAGGCGAGCTTGTGCACTTGTTTGTGTGGATATTCAATGGGTGACCTTCACAAATCTGCCGTGCCAGGCCCAGCGGAAATTGGCCAAAGTAGTGCAGATACACCCCAGTGCCTCATCCATGAAGTGTTCTCAGTGACGCAGGGACCAAAGGACTAGGAGACGAAAGGAGCAGGGACGGAGAAGGGGACCTACTCAGGATGCTTTTAGATCCCGTTCTTTTTGTTGATCCTGTTCTTTTCTCGTTTGATCTATAGATGCCCCGCATGATCAGCAAAGAACAACATATTCTTGCAGATTCTATAGCTTCCCAAATGGAACACCATAAAGGGAAAAAAACAAACACAATCTAATTATATCATAAGCACACAACAGTCCCCCCAAAAAAAACAACCTAGCAACATGCAACTGATCTAGCACATGTGAGTGTCTATTAGAAAAGGGGTCTCCCTCCAAGGCGTAACCCGACCCCCCCGCAAGGAAATCGACCCGTCTGCCCCGAACCACGGGGATTCCCTTATACACCCACAAATCCGGGATCCAAGTGCCACAGGTACTTGGACCCCACCCACCCCAGTCCCACCTTCTCCCTGACGGCTACTTGGATCCTTAGGGAATGTGGCCTTAGGCTACTTGGACCTCCCATTCGTCGCCCTACGCCGAGCGGAACCCTTCAGCCCTCGGCTCGTTGCCCTGCGAGCTCACGACGCCGCCGACGTAGACCTCGCAAAGGACGCGAAAGCGCATGGCGAAGCACGGGCTGAGCTTTAGAGGAAGCATCCCTAAAGCAGAACGGACAAAAAAAAACAAGCGGGAATGGATGGAGAGGTTCTCCCAGTGAGATCCTGTGTTTTGGCTTTGATGATGATTGTTAGAACTTGATTGAATCTATACGAGTTTAGAATGATAGAATCTGATATAGTTCTCACAGAATCTGATATAGTTCTCACAGAAGAATGATATAGTTCCTCTAGATTTAGAAATAGTTCCCGCAGGGCACATCCATTCTGACCGAAACATCAAATAAAGAAGCCGAAAATGGTCCTGAGTCCTAATGTATACCTGTACAATTGTGTATATTTGGATGTTCGATCTGTTGGGTATGTCAAATAAGGCCGAGGGTAAAAAAGAAAACAAAGCTACCTCCGTGTGTGTAATTGCTGGGTTTCTCGCAGCTTGGTCAAAAGAAAAAAACACCTTCCTCCCATGTGCATGCGCAGCTTGCGGATGAGGCTGTCTACAGCATTCTACACCTCTTCCTAGGTCAACGCATCCACTTCCCTCTTCGGCTGCCTACAGAGAGGTAGTCAGCTCGCCAAGCTGGTAGACCTAGACCATTGTGGTTTCCATGCATGGTCTCACTCCTGTAATCCACCTGAAAAGCTTGAAGCTTGCACCACTTTCGTCAGAGACCCGGCTACCAACCCTGGCCCAAGCAGCTTTTCCGTGACAGGTCACTCCAGTGCCTTCGAGAATTTCATTGAGCTGCTGAACCTCAACGAGCGGCGGAAGAGACATGGAGCCAGTCTCTTGTGCATATGGGTATGGATCCAACCACTGCAATTCACAGAGGTACCTTTTTTTTCAGTCTGTGTGTTTTCTATTCCAACAAATAATACATATATATATAGATTACATTACATATATGCATAGGATGACTGGTGGTACTTTGCAATTATAAATTCCGAAGGTTTGCAAGTCTTCAAGAATGGCCGTTTTCTGATGCATCAATGCGAGTTGTTGCCAGTTGGTGGCGCTTCTTTTGAGATCTTTTGAGGGTCAAGGAGTCGCTGTTTGTGAACACAGCAACTGTTTGTTTGATTGCATCGGCCACCTGAAGTGGAAGTGAGCGACCTTGCTAAATTGTTGATTCCAAAAAACATTCCATTCAACCATACATTTAGAGATTCAATGCCTAGAGCTGTTCTACTGTACAGCATTCATTGAGTTCCATACACATCATACACCAGGCACCTATTACTTGTTTCATCTTGAGCGCCGTTTTCAGAAGTGATTTTTTCTGCCAAGAGATATTAGGCCCATGTCTCGGATCGGGAGGTTCTCCTCCACGCTCAGGCGTCAATCCCGACGTCGGGATACTTTGGTTACATGTTACATACCTGCCCAACACACGCTGACACACCTTCCAAAGCAGTTGGAGCCAAAACCCCAAGCAGCTACAGTATACGGTGAGGCCCTCCTCATGAGAACCTCCTTCTTGTCGAACTTTCCATGGAGATCTTCCATGTCGTGTTGCTCACTTGATCATACTTACTCAGCTTAGTTAGCTTAGCTTTACTCTCTCCTCTCCCAAACACTCGCATCCACAGCCTCCCCGCTGTTCATGTCTCGCTCCTCTCACTCCCGATTCCACAGCCTCTTTAATGAACCATCCTTTTAAGGGGGAGTTCGCCAGGACTGAACTATAAGGGAGAGTTCTCCCACACCACTGCAGCGATTGGGAGGAATCCTAGTTTTCATCCAATTTTGCTTCTGGTGTTTTTTTCTTCTTGAGGCTCCGTGATTCAAGGGTTTATTTTTGCGCACCCGTGGTGATTTTCAGAACTCAGAAGCCACATGCCCAGCATGCACAGGCCCCAAGCGGCTTGGGCGTTGTACCAGGTGAGGATTGCAACCTGAAGACTCCACTGCTCAAAGCGGGGCATAACATGGACTCATCCAGTGAAGAAGCTGGGTAGCCTTGAAGCAGCTGGGCAGCCTTGAAGCACCTGTAGGGGTGCGGAACCTTGTGTAGATTTGCGTTGCAAATGCTTCTGCCGTGGGGGTGACCAATGTAGGGGAATACCCAAGAGTTTCAGTGCTTTTGGGTTTGACAGTTGGTTCCAATTTGTTCCATGCAGCGATAGACCCCAACTGCTGTCAGGTGGATTTTACATCGCAACAGGAACAAATGAACAACTATGATCTTGGTTTCCTCAGAAATGGGACCATTCTGGGAAAAGGGCGTACGGCATCTATCCAGAAAGTATCATGAACAATATTTGCAATCATAATCATTACATGACTCACCCTAGAAATGGAACATGGCCCCTGCCCCTAAACAACCAGCTACTTGTAGGTACTCATGACGTACTCATGTTCGCTCTGGGTCTTTTCCTTCTCCCACCTTCTCCAGAAAGAAAGCGCAACACCCCTTCGCTCCAAGTCACGCGCTGGCCGCCCACCTTCGCAGCCAAGGCCTTGGCCAACTCAGCGGCACGTACTGCCTGGTGCGAGGTCCGAGCCCTGAGACCTTCCAGGCTTTTGAACTTGTCGCGTTTGGAGGACCTTCTCACCAATTTTTTGGGGTTTGGTGAGAAGGTCCGCTGGAGCGGCCCGAACGAACTTGCCAATAGGTCAGGCATGCTTCATCGATCCGGAGAAACAAAAGACATGGGGTGTCCAGCACTAAACCAATCAACCGATCGTGACCTAAACAGGTCGAGCTCAACTCCATGCAGTGTGGTGAACTCGAAACAAACACCTCCCAACAGGCGACCTCCGAACCGAGCAGGCTTGGTCGATGCGTCCGGCTAGGTCCACCTGTCTTGGCTGTTTGGGACTCCGGTCAGACCTCCATTTCAGCTGCTTGGAATGGGTTCAGAGGGTCTAAAAAGCTCTGAGTAGCTTCCTCTCAAGATCTTTGAAGCCCATAGGGTTGGTTCCCATTCACATGGGGCCGGGCATGCCGGGCATGTTCCCATTCAGAATCACAGCACTGGCACCTGCGTGGGGCGTCGTCTTCTGATCGAAGCCGTGATCACCCGGAGACCAGGCCTCTGCCGGATTGAAGCGACTCTTCGCACTGCTGGAGGCCGTCCGCACTTGCGAGATCCTCGGAAGCACAACGACCCACGCCCCAGGACCTAGGACTGGAAGAGATGCCAGTCCCATTGACCCAAACCAACCCGGATCCACATACATTCCAAGAAGGTACGGCTGGACCCTCCTAGCACCTATACATCACAGTGTCGAACACATCACCTGAATTGCCTGAAAAGGTTCTTGGATCCCTATAGGGCAACCACCCGAATGTAGGTCTATATGCCAGTCCGTCTTGTCGTGTCGGGAGTCCATCACGCGTCGACTGAAGGCTCATTCATGACTCGGAACCCGACGGTCCAAACGAAGCGAATTCCTTTTGGGGATCCAAAGTGGGACCTGCCATATGGAACAAAATCATACATGCACCGATTTGGTGGACCCTTCAAGGCTTCAGGGGTCAAGACCCATACGATGGGGGAGGAATCCACAAGGATCAGGCCCAATTTGTGAAGCATGTGTCACAGGAATATGTAGTTAGTGCAAGTTAAACAAATACCCTCCCCAAAAACTAACATGAACCCTGCCAATGGCCCTCTGGAAGACTCTTCTCCGCCAACCAGTGGTTTTCAGGGGCCATGTTCATCTTCAAAGGGGGTACCATATCCTCAGGTTCGGTGGGGACACCCCCCCTGGCACCACCCACCATGACCATCGAACCGAAAAGGACGGGGCCAGGAGCCCGGATGGGTAGAGACTGTAGTACCCATTGGAAGCTCCGAAATCCGCTCTTCGGGACACCGATGAGTCTACAGGACTGAGGGTTCCCAGGTGGATGGATGAACGCCGCAGTGGGGGTCCATGGGTCCAGTCAAAGCTCCTACAGCTAAGAGTGTTAAACACTAAGTCCAGCCATGCCTTCATGCCTCCAGAACACATTCTACCTGTGTTTTTTTGATAGCATCTCACGCTTCTCATGCCACGTACATTTTTGAGACTCCTTTGAACTCCAGTTGTCAGATCAAGTTCATCTCATTGACCTCTTCAGTCTTCACTCTTCACCGATTTCTGCTTTCCAAAACCAGCCAGGCAGCGCATCCACCCTCCACCCAGCCCTGTTTCGAGCTCAGCAGCTGCTCCGGTGCCGAAGGCGAGGACCAAAAGAGCAAGGCTTCCGGCTTGGAGGGCCGTCCAGGATGCGCCAAGCGTCCAGGAGCCCGAGCCAAGATGCCGGGGTCCTCGGATCAAAGCGAGCTCGCTGGAAAGGAACACATACTGTGGCAACTTATAGTTTAAACCAAATATCGACTATATATATACACATATCATCAGCACGATGATAATACATGTGTTTACATAAATAATACAGTACATCTCTCTATGTATATATAAATATACACATGCAAAGAGAGAGAGAGAGAGAGATAGAGTTGATTGATTAGCGTTTCAAACCACCAAAGGGTGATGCATATAATATGTTATAGGTATAACATGGAATTAGTTCAACACAAGCAATACTTACAGTATATACCAGGAGTTCCATGGAGTGGTCGAGTTCGGGCTGGTGACCTTTTGGTGCCACATCCACTGGGTGGAACTGCTCTTGGACACAACAGGAGAACGACCATTTGCTTCCTTCATCAAAAACATGTCCTGACTGAAGCGACTATAGTGACTATAGTTGTATCAGATCTCTTTGAGTAACACCAAATTATGATATAGTGACTATAGTGCTATGGACTGGTTTGATGGTTCTATGGAGTTTGCCGTTCGTTGAACATATCATACCTCCTATGTTTCCAATGGGTCGGAAGGCACTTTCAGACCAATCCAGGTGTCATGAACATGTCCTGTGTGCGTGCAGGGCAGTCATGGTGTCTCCCTGAACCCGTCCAGGATACCAACCCGCTAGGCCATGTTGAGACTGTCTAGCAGGGTTTCCAAATGTCTGGTAGCTGCTAGGGTTCTCAAACATCTCCAAACACAGCCCGCCATATTGCCCTGCCTCCTCAACTAGGCTTGCTACCCGCCGCCAAGTAAGTCGGCCATGTCATGTTGAGACTTCCCGTCGACGCCTGGTTGGAACTTGCAGCTTGTCCCACAGTACACCACTGCTGCTGTGTGTCTGTACGCACGCGACCACCATAGAAGTACGCCGCAGGGAAGGCATTCAGGTCCTACGGCGTGCCAGACGCCAGCTCCAGCATAGAGTGTGCGAGGTCCAACGTGAAATCATCGGTCGCAAAAAGCATCGGTGGCAAACAGCCATGGTTTCAAGAGACCTTACCGGCTCAACCCCGGCATCGCCAGCTAAGGCAAGTGGCAAGCGACTATCGAGCCTGTTTACGAGATGGTGTCCGTTGTTCGCTACCATTCCCTATGCGAATCAAGCGAATCAGCAGTCAAAAGGAACATTTGGATCTCCCCTAAACGGACGATACTGTGTTTCCAAGTGCTTCTCAACGGACCTTTGGAATCCCAACTTCCCGACCTTGCACATCACTGTATTCTCGCAAAATTGGACACAAAAACAAACCTCTTCCCCCTCCCCCCAAAGAATGCATTGAAGAACTTTCAAAGCCCTTTGCCACCCCCCAAACTTGGCTCAAAAGTAGTTGTTGTGTTTAAAGCATATACCCTTAGGTGCCTTGACAAAAATTGGTAAGCCCACAGCCTTGGAGGGATCGTGCCCCCCCAAGCGGTCACCTCGTGCATCCGGTACTGCAACGACAAGAGCTTCGGCTCGCTCCAGGGTGCTTCGCTCAGCCGCTCCTGTTGTTTGGCTCGCTCAGCTCGTTCAGGCCATGTCCAGTGTCTGCCCCCCCACTGGTGAAGACCAAGACCAAAAGTCATAGTATTTCACAAGATTTGGTGGTGTTCAACTCGCTTGAACAAATATAACATGTTCCAGTTATATCTTGGGTCTGTCCCAGTAAACCTGTAACCGGAAGCATAAACAAGAACCTACTGTAGTCACAGCAATGAAAGAACCGCACACATCGCACACATTTCCAC